CCCTCACACGTTTCGTGGCCCCATAGGGAGCTCCACCGAAGGCCCCAGCGGCCGCGCTCACATGCGTCCCCGCCACCCATCCCGGCACGCCCCTCACAACAACAGGTTTCGTGGCCCCATGGGGAGCTCCACCGAAGGCCCCAGTGGCGCCGCCCGCATGCGTCACCACCCGCACCCAATTCGGCACACCCCTCACACGTTTCGTGGCCCCATAGAGAGCTGCACCGAAGGCCCCAGTGGCGGCGCTCACATGCGTCCCCGCCACACATCCCAGTACACCCCTCACGCGCTTCGTGGCCCCATAGGGAGCTCCACCGAAGGCCCCAGTAGCGGCGCTTACATGCGTCTCCGCCACCCATCCCGCCCCCCCCCCCCGCAGCAGCATCATGTTTCGGGGACCCATAGGGAGCTCCACTGGAGGCCCCAGTGGCGGCCCGCACATGCGTTTCCGCCACCCATGTCGGCACGCCCCGCGCGTGTTTCATGTCCCCATAGGGAGCTTCGCCGAATGCCCCAGTGGCACCCATCTCGGCACACCCCTCACACGTTCCGTAATCCTATGGGGAGTTCCATTGAAGATGAAACCCGCAGCTGCGGTACTGACAACTGCATATGGTTGGGTTCTTCGCCAGGCTAATTATTATGTATTGTGTTTGACGGTGCTATGATGTATCATGTATGGTGTACGATAATGTATGATGGTGCGTTATGATGTAGGGTGTTTGATGGTGTAATATGATGTATGATGTCCGATGTTTGATGATGTGTAATGTTGTATGATGTATGACGTTTGATGATTGGGATGTTTGGTGACGTATGATGTTTGATGGTGTATGATGTTTGGTGATGTATGATGGTTGACCATGTATGGTGTATGTACAATGTTGTATGACGCATGATGGTGTATGGTGTATGTATAATGTTGTATGATGCATGATGGTTGGGTGTATGTATAATGTTGTGTGATGCATGATGATGTATGGTGCATATATAATGTTGTCTGGTGCATTGTGGTGTATGGTGTATGTATCATGTTGTATGATGAATGACGTGGTCTGATGTACACATCACGTTGTATGATGCATGATGATATGTGACGTATGTTTCATGTTGTACGATGTTGTATGATGTAGCATGATGTATGTACCATGTTGTATGAGTACTACTTCGGCCTACGACTACTACTACTACTACTACTACTACTACTACTACTACTACTACTACTACTACTTCTATTACTACTACTACTACTACTACTACTACTACTACTACTACTACTACTACTACTACTACTACTACTACTACTACTACTACTACTACTACTACTACTACTACTACTACTACCAGGGCCTCCTGAGAGGCCCCAGTAGCCTCTAAGGAAGCCCAAGAAGCATCTCGGGAGGCCAACGAGGCCTCTCAGGATGCCCAAGGGGCCTGTCGGGAGGTTCAATGAACCTCACAGGAGGCCCACGAGGCCTCTCAGGAGGGCCCAGAGGCCTTTCAGGAGGCCCCAGAGGCATCTCAGGACGCCCAAGATGCTTCTCTGGAGGCCCAAGAGGCATCTCGGGAGGCCCAAGAGGCCAAAGAGGCTTCTCAGGAGGCCCAGGAGGCCCCAGAGGCATCTCAGGAGGCCCAAGATGCCTCTCAGAAGGCCCAAGAGGCCTCCCAGGAGGCCCAAGAAGCTTCTTAGGAAGCTCAAGAGGCCTCTCAGGAGGCCCAAGAGGCCTCTCAGGAGGTCCCAAGAGGCTTTCCAGAAGGCCCAAGAGGCCCCCCAGGAGGCCCAAGAGGCCCCCCCGGGAGGCACCCCAAGAGGCCCCCCAGGAGCCCCAAGAGGCCTCTTCAGGAGGCACAAGAGGCCTCTGAGGAGGCCCCAGGGGCCTCTCAGGAGGCCCCAGAGGCCTCTCAGGTTGCCCAAGATGCTTCTCAGGAAGCCCAAGGGGCTTCCTTTTTTTTTGAGCCGCTAAAATCGTGAAGCGCGGCCGGGAGGAGGAGCAGGGAGGACGAGGGGGACGAGGAGGACGACCTGGTGCCGAAAGCTGGCCCGTCCGACCCCTCACATATACGACCAGTAAGCAAGCGTGGCGGGACGTCTTGGGGCTGTCTGGACCCGCGTGGGGCTCCGGAGCTTGCGGCTGGAACGGGGCCGCTCGCCAGAAAAAGACGCCGGCTGAACAACCCGCCGGGGTGCAGTCGAACTGGCACGAGAATTGTGAGACGGGGCCGGCACGAGGAGGAGGGAGGAAGCGGAGGAGAAGGAGGGAGAAACGAATCGCTTCAAGAGCACCGGGTGCTCGGGGCGACTGCGCGCGGCCTCCGGGCCACGGAGAGGGAGGGGGGGCGGCAAGCAGGCAAGGCAGGGGGGCAGTCGGGCAGGCGGCGGTGGGGCGGGGGGGCACGGCCGCGGGGTGTGAGCCACCAGACCCCGCCGTTAGGCGCGCGTGCGCGGGGGCGGGCGGGGGCGGGTAGGGGGTTTGGGGGGAGCGACGGGGGCGCGGGAGGGGGCGCCTACGAGGCACCCT